TCAGTTGTTGCTCGCTGCGTCGGGAATTGTCGATACTGCGCGCATAATGGTGTTCAAGTGTTAATAACCTTCCCAAAGAGAGAGCTGACTTCAAAGCGTCTAGGTGCACCGGGTCAAGAAAAATCCTTCTTTGGTTATCTTAATTCGTACTGTCTTGACGACCGCCTGAGCGACGTATCGTTAAAGCCCTCCTCTTCGATATATATATATATATATATATATATATATATATATATATATTGTTAGGAAAAGAAGAGGACGACGGGCTCGTGCAGAAAAAGGCGAACGAGAGGGCTCGAGGTTTTTGAGCGTGCTGACCCGAACCACCGATTTACAAACCGCATTGTAAATCTCATCCAGCATTAAATCATCGTTTTCCGACATCTTAACAAGTGGTGGAGATGCGGAGTAGAGCGTCCACTGCGCAATTCCAGGGCAGCAGACGGGGTTGTGAGGTAGGAGAAAGCTTGCTTACCTCCACCACTTGTTAAGTACATCATAAGCGATAGAGGAACACCCTTCGTTTCAAAACTTCTTCAAGAAGTTTTGCGGCTGGCTTCCACCATTCACACCGTCACAACCGCCTACCATCCGCAAACGAATGGCCTAACCGAGCGCCTCAATCATACTTTATCTGATATGATTTCGATGTATGTCACCGACAATCAAAGTACTTGGGACGCCGTTGTTCCCTACATTACATATGCGTACAATACGGCTCGCCAATCAACAACTGGTTTCTCACCATACCATCTTCTTTACGCCAGAGAACCTTTCACGACACTGGACACGGTTCTGCCCTACGTGGACGAACGGGCCCAGGGCTCCTATCCGGCCCATATCGTCTCCCACGCCGAAGATGCCCGCCAGCTCGCTCGTATCCACACGTCCCAATCCCAGCAGCAGCAAGAGCTGTGCTACAATGCATCCCACCGCCCAGCGACCTACAACATCGGAGACGAGGTTCTTATCTGGTCTCCTTCACATGCCCTCGGGAAATGCGAAAAGCTTCAAAGCAAGTTTATCGGCCCTTTTCGTATCACCCGTCAACTTTCCGCTACCAACTACGAGGTTGCCCCTGTATCGCCACCTCGCGATCGCCGATCCCGCGCATCGGACATTGTCCACGTCGCCAGAATCCGCCCCTATCGCCGCCCGGACACCTAAACACCACCACCATCCTCCCTTAACAGCCGCCGGAGGACCGGCGTCTCCATCCACCGGGGGGCTACTGTTAGGAAAAGAAGAGGACGACGGGCTCGTGCAGAAAAAGGCGAACGAGAGGGCTCGAGGTTTTTGAGCGTGCTGACCCGAACCGCCGATTTACAAACCGCATTGTAAATCTCATCCAGCATTAAATCATCGTTTTCCAACATCTTAACAATACATATATATGTCGAAGAGGAGGGCTTTAACGATACGTCGCTCAGGCGGTCGTCAAGACAGTACGAAAACCAAAAAAAAAAAATATATATATATATACTTATTTTTTGGGGCTTAAAGACACTTCTAGGCAGTGCAACAGCACCGCCACGAAGAGTGTAGAAGAAAAGAATTACTGCACATGCACGGGTGTTGCACGGCAGAATAATAGAAGCAAATGCAGGAAAGTGAAGACGATCAGCCATGAAGAACTTTTGCCAGCAGCCCGTATGTGCGATAGAGGAGGAAGGCTCGCCCGCTGTCGGGTGTCAGGAAAGATGTCAGGGATGGTAACGGCTCTCATAGGACGGCTCAACTTTTAAGACGAAGGCCTTGCTCGTCCAATTGAGCGAAGAATCGGAGTAAATGGCCATAAATGTGATTGCGCGGCACTCCCCGCTCAATCGTATGCTCAATTGCGACGCTGTCTTTGGCGTCGTCTTTGCCGTTGTCCTAAACGTCGTCCTAGACCTCTAAGGCGACCTCAAGTGTCAGAATACGAGAAAAACAAGCGTCGCCGTCGTCGTTGTGCCCGAAAGATGGCCATAACAATACGCCATCAAGCGTCATCAGATTGATGTCATCAAGCGTCATCATACGTCATCAGCGTGATGTCACTACCGGAGCGCCGTGTGCAAAAGGTGCGCTTTGGACTTCATCTGTGCCCGGTGTATGCTTCGTGCGATGGACTGTGAGGCGACCGCGTCTACACCTAGGGCATCGACATCGGCAGCAGCCGTTACATCTACGGCGGCTTCCGCAGTAAAACGTGACCGCACACGCAAATACGCCACGGCTTCATTAAGTGTCCTCCTCTACGTGTCGCTGCCGACGTTTTCCTAGACGTCATCCTGTCAGCATTGCTCTTGACGTCGTCCTAGACTTGGTGCTTAAGGTCGTCCTAGAGGTCGCTCTAGAAATTGTCCTAGACGTCGACCGAGAAGTCGTCTTAGACGTCCTCCTTGACGCCTTCCTTGACGTCGTCCTAGCGGTCGTCCTAAGCATTTATACGTGTAGAAACATGACTCGAAAACATTTCTCCTGCGGGATTATAATACTTTCCCCTACCTACACGTAAGCAGTCTTTAAATGTACTACTTTAAGTATTTTTATTTGTTTTTCTTTTTTGCGTATATCGTCGGATTGGTGACGTTTTTTATATGTGCATTTGAGGCGAGGAATGAAGCACTTGGATTTGTTCGCATTTGATTTGATTGCAAAGGAAGTTTTTGTTTCACACTTGAAATTAATAATAACAATAATATTAATAAAAACAATAATCTTTATTAGCGTAACTTGACGTGCTCTGGGGGTGCTCGAAAGTTTACGCAGAAAGGCTGGGGATGGTACACGTGAGCGTCTGCTAACCAGCCACCCAAATTAATGTGAAAGACTGGGTCACCTGTACTGAAATCTCCCCGGCTATAAAGTTTCTATATAGCAAAGAATATGTCCGATATGTTCTCTCGTTCACCAAATTCAAATTAAAGAATAATCATATAATTCGATTATTCTTTTCTTTATCGTGCAGTTGCACGCATGCGCGTTATTGTGCCAGTGCGGAATGCACAAAAAACCGGGCAATTGAGAAGATTACACGCAGGCCACCTTATGTTCGTGATGTCTTACGGCTAAAAGTATAGACCGTTCTATAAGGGTCATAGCAGAGAGGGTAATAGAGAGAAAAAAATGCCCTCCCCCTCTCACCCTCATGTCGTCTTCTCCTCCGAGTGGGCTGTACCTAGCATCCGGTTGGCGTACAAACTCTGTTTAAAATCGCGTCAGTTTGGAAATTTTAAGCGCAGAGGCGCAGATTTTGGTATGCCAGTTATCGTGTAATACTATGCTAGATAAAAAGACTAACAGGGTCCCATTGCGCTGTTACCTGCGTGCAAATAAAAAAAAAGAAAAGGAAAACTGTGTCAAATGGGGCAGTGTCTCTGGCGAAAAGTAAATCCGGTTGCTGTACGTTTTTTACTATACAAAGTCCGTACGTGTGTAGGCCTTTAGCTACCATGAGTGAAAGTCTGAAATAATAAATAAAAACGTGCTCTCCTGCCGCATTACACGTAGTAGTTGAGGGTAGTACTGCCGGCTGACTCAACTGCTATTTAAGTAACGGAAAAAAAGATATGCAAGTTGATCATTTACCGAAATAGAACAACATAGAGATATAGGCTTGTTTTGGAGTAGCCATAACTATTCTAAGAACGCGAACCACTTCACAACGGCAGCCACGAGCGAGAGTTCAATGTTCCGTACAGCCCGCCGGTACAGCCCAAAGATGGAGAATGGCAACCTCCCGGTTTGTCGTCGGCTATACTCCGTCTCACCCTACGATGGACTATGGCCCAAAGGCTGGCGGGCGGAGCACCGCCTTAGAAAAGCCTGCATCCGCATTGCAAAAAAGTGCGCAAAAGAAATTCCGATACGCCGAGTACGAAGAGCACCAATATTATGCGTATGGTTCTCTGTTGTTATAACACGCTATTTTATATTGGTGAAGTAGATGTAAATTGTATTTAGGTTGATAAATATTGGTGCCATATTTCGCACACATGTCAACAACTATTTTGAGAATTTGGAGAGCGCGCAGGCAACACTGGTGTAAAGTCGTTTCGCCTTAGCCAAAACAATCCAATCCAATCTTCGTGTACGTTTTGTATGTGCGTTCATGTGTCGAACACGCGACCACTCGATCAGACTGATCTTCATCATCTAATGGCCACTCGTTCTGATCCCGGGTTCTCTTCGCCGCATCGCTACCAGACGGTATTTAAGAAAGCTGCCTTCAGTAGTCTGGCGCGGCAGATTGTACTTAACGTGTATTTTAAGCTTCGTGTCGAGAATCCGGCTGCTCCGTATTACGAGACCGTTCGGAGGGTGGCGGACTTAACGGGTGTAGGGTACACCACAATCTTTAGATGGAAAAAGCTTGTTGGAAAGAGTGCCTTAAGTGGCGCGCCGTCAGTGCCCTCACCCATACGTACGAGACGGGAAAGGTCTCCGGCCACGCCAAGTGAGCTGAACTCGTTTCATCACCAGACACTCCGGCTGATCGTGCATGGTTTCTACCGGCGGAACGAGTGTCCGACGCTGCTGAAGGCAAGTCCACATCTTAATGCCTCCGCTTATCTTATGCAATTTATTCAGCTGCTAACTAGAAAAAAGATGAGGGATTTCTTAAAAATACAGATATCATTACTCCGTGACATCTGAAATCGCATTCAACTGCCTCCGAAATGAGCCCACCGCTTGCGCATATGAAGACGCCTGTGAAAAAAGCCCAAATATTGCAGATTAAATGACGTTGGCGCATATTTGCTGTCTGTATAATAAAGGCTGCTGGCACCAAACGGGGCCAAACATGAGCGCAAGATTTAATATTGTAATAAAACAAAATGTAATTAGAATATGCTGATATGTTCATTTCAGTGTGAGGTACATACGCTGTATTTATAATGTGGAGTAGAGTATCCCAGTATCCGACAAATGCCGCCATGACTTTGTGGGCCCACTGACGAAATTCTCAACGACATTTGCACATAATTGCAGCACAATTTTGTCTGAAAGGCCAAATGTCTGCCTTGAGCTCAAAATTTTTTATGGTTTGTTGTCATGACAGGACATTTTCATTGCAACAACTAACTTGTTGTGGTCACAGTGTAATTGTTGGATATCCTGTTATTCAATTAATCGCAGCACATACGCTGAAATAAAAATAATTCTAAAATTAATTATTGCATTTTTTTAAATATTGCTTAACAATAAAAGAAATTGGAGTGTCCCCTTGAGAAACGAAGGAGTCAGTTGGCTGTCACTTTGAACATTTAAAAGTCCGGATGCTGTGTCTAGTCTGTTTTCTTTCCCTTGTTTCCACTTCGTGTATTCGAGACATTGCCCGACAACACTGACCTAGTAATTGAAATAACACAAATCAGTTCCAGATAAGTAGATGTGAGCGTATTGGCTGCAATTGTGCTAAAACATGCTTTTCTTAAATTACAGATTCTGGATGAAATCAAGAAAAATAACGATTTTCCCAATATCAGCCGTGCCACTCTCTGCAGAGTCCTGAATAAGCTTGGGTTCGCGTTCACGACACGCAAGAGGAACTCGTTGTTGCTTGAGCGCAACGATCTCGTGCTCTGGCGTGCATCCTATCTGAGGTCTATCAAGGAGTACCGCCAAGATAACAGGCCCATTTACTACTTAGATGAGACGTGGGTCAATGCCGAACATACACGCTCCAAGGTATGGAAGGACCAGTCAGTCACATCTTCAAGTGATGCCTAAAAGAAGGGGTTTACATCCGGCTTGAAGAACCCCTCTGGAAAAGGCGAGAGGCTCATCATTGTTCATGCGGGGAGCAAGGAGGGCTTTCTTGTGGGGGCGGCCGAGGTGTTCCGGGCCAAGAAAGGCATCGGTGACTACCACCAAGAAATGGACGGGCAACGCTTTGAAGAGTGGTTTACCAAGAAGCTGCTGCCAAACCTCAAGCCCAGGAGTGTTGTAGTAATGGACAATGCCTCGTATCGCTTCGCAAAAATACACACCCTGCCAACCACCAGCACAAAGAAGCTCGAGATTCGCCAGTGGCTCAGCAACAACGGGATTGCATCGGACATGTCCATGCTGAAGGTGGAGCTCCTGAACCTTGTCAGCAAAGCGAAGGCTGCAAGAGCCGAGCTGGAAAAGTACCGCATTGATACGATAGCGGAACACCACGGCCACAGCGTCCTCCGTTTGCCTCCCTATCACTGTAAACTTAATCCAATTGAGTTGGTAAGGAGCCAAGTGAAAGGAGAGGTTGCAAGCAAGAACCAATCGTTCAAGATTGCGGGGGTGGAGAAGCTGACTCCGACTGCCTTGCAAAATGTGAGCCCCGAGACCTGGGAAAGCTATGTGAAACACGCCATTCAAGTTGAAGAACAGATGTGGGAAGCAGATGGCCTTGTTGACACTGTCCTCGACAGTATTGTAATCGACACAAATGGGGACTCTGACACTGATACATGTGATGAAGATGAGGAGATGGGTTGTGAACCACTTGAGTGGTAGGAATGCTTGCGTATCGATTCCCCTATGACGCAATGTGGCACCAGTAGCAGACTCACCATGTGGCAGCATTATCCAGGGCCGGCTGGTGCGTCTCTTGCTCACTCAAGAACCGAATCAAGCTGCAGGTTCAGGATCAGGCAGCATTATCGACGACTGACTGGTGCGTCTCTTGCTCACTCAAGAACCGAATCAAGCAGCAGGTTCAGGATCAGGCAGCATTATCGACGACTGACTGGTGCGTTTCTTGCTCACTCAAGAACCGAATCAAGCTACAGGATCAGGATCAGGCAGCGCTATCGAAGACTGGATGGTGCGTCTCTTGCTCACTCAAGAACCAAATCAAGCAGCAGGTTCAGGATCTGGTAGCATTATCGACGACTGGGTGGTGCGTCTCTTGCTCACTCAAGAACAGAATCAAGCAGCAGGTTCAGGATCAGGCGGCATTACCGACGACTGGCTGGTGCGTCTCTTGCTCACTCAAAGACCGAATAAAGCTGCAGGTTCAGGATCAGGCAGCATTATCGACGACAGGTTCAGGATCACGCAGCATTATCGACGACTGGGTGGCGCGTCTCTTGCTCACTCAAGAACCAAATCAAGCAGCAGGTTCAGGATTAGGCAGCATTATAGACGACTGGGTGGTGCGTCTCTTGCTCAGTCAAGAACCGAATCAAGCACCAGGTTCAGGATCAGGCGGCATTATCGACGACTGGCTGGTGCGTCTCTTGCTCACTCAAGAACCGAATCAAGCTGTAGGTTCAGGATCAGGCAGCATTATCGACGACTGACTGGTGCGTTTCTTGCTCACTCAAGAACCGAATCAAGCAGCAGGTTCAGGATCAGGCCGCATTATCGACGACTGGCTGGTGCGTCTCTTGCTCACTCAAGAACCGAATCAAGCTGCAGGTTCAGGATCAGGCAGCATTATCGACGACTGACTGGTGCGTCTCTTGCTTACTCAAGAACCGAATCAAGCAGCAGGTTCAGGATCAGGCAGCATTATCGACGACTGGCTGGTGCGTCTCTTACTAACTCAAGAACCGAATCAAGCTGCAGGTTCAGGATCAGGCAGCATTATCGACGACAGGTTCAGGATCAGGCAGCATTTTCGACGACTGGGTGGTGCGTGTCTTGCTCACTCAAGAACCGAATCAAGCAGCAGGTTCAGGATCAGGCAGCATTATCGACGACTGACTGGTGCGTCTCTCGCTCAATCGAGAACCGAATCAAGCTGCAAATTCAGGATCAGGCAGCATTATCGACGACTGACTGGTGCGTCTCTTGCTCACTCAAGAACCGAATCAAGGTGCAGGTTCAGGATCAGGCAGCATTATCGACGACTGGGTGGTGCGTCTCTTGCTCACTCAAGAACCGAATCAAGCTGCACGTTCAGGATCAGGTGGCAGTATCGACGCCTGATGCTTGCTTACACAAGAACCGAATCGAGCAAGTCGCATTTGTTCCTTGCTGGTGCAATATGTGACACCATGTCTGGTATGATAATAAAACCTGTTTTGTGAGATACATTGTAAATCTGTATTGTTTAATTCCAGCACCTAAAAATATAAAGTAAGTGTAGTATTACTAAACTCTGAAGTAAGCAAGATTTCAGTCTGGTGAGTAAGAACATCTTAAAACTGAAACAAACGATGCATGATAGCATGTGTCACTGTTAATGAGATTTTTGTTACAAAATCGCATGAATATAACGAACTAAAATGCGCGTGGGAGGAACAATAACAGTTTATTGCTTTTTGTAGCTTGTAATGTTTTGTGAGCGCTGTGTGAAGGATTGTCCAAAAATCTTATCGATGGATGTTTTAAGCAGGGCTGAGCGCGTGCTTTGGGGAGAATGCAAACACTCACGAGAAACAAGTTCGTGCGGGAAGTGCATGAATAAACATATGGCCTTTCGGGAACCCCCCTCAAGGTTCGGCGAGGCCAAAGCGAGGTGAAAATTGCGTGAGGACGGCATCCCCACATTCACGTGAATTGGAGGTGTATCCCTTAGGAGACGGCACACTTCGTCGGGCTGAAGCATGTTGCGCCGAGGGAAAACACTGTCATCTATCGACTCAAACACTGTGTTCAGCTCATGCAGTCTTTTTTTAATCGATCGGACGTTGGGATACCAAATGTGACGGCGGCGCTAGGCTGGGAGAGACAGGAACTTTCACCCACGCTGTCCCCACAGATTACGCTTGACTACTGACGCCGATTGTACCGGCGCAAGGGAACACGCATGCCGTAGGTTCAGGAAGATACGGAGGCTTCGCCTCCAGCAAATGATAAAATTAACCAAACGACCTACCGACGAGTAAGTATCATGCAAGGAAGGCTTTTAGTCCTAGCGGCCACCGAGGCGTGTACGAGGCTGACGGCGATACGGACGAAGCACACGCATATGGATCAGCAGTCGAGATTCCTTGAGTGTCGTAACTATTCGTTCTGTGACAAGGAATTAGAAGAAAACTCAGCAAGCAGCCGGAGCCGCCGCTTTGAGTTTTCGATAAGCAGACGAAAAACTCGCCTCCGCATGACGCGTCCTGGCGCACTGATACGTACGACGGAGCAAACATTGCACGTGGTTTCAAACAGGCTCGTCATTGGACCCGGCGGCCTGTATCATTGGGCTTTAGTCCATCGTAGGATGAGACGGAGTATAGTGGAGTGGGGCGCGTCCCCTCTCTCTCGTTTTACGCCGCCGAGTTAGCTGAATTTCCCGGATGTATGGAGAGGGCGCTGCTGTCGAACAAAATGGTGCTGCCCAGAGAGCGCTAAGTGGAATTGTCTATACACCTTTCCAAGAAACACTCGGCCCCAGGGACAACAAACCGTTTTCGAGCCCAGTCATTGGGTTCGAGGCTAGAGTCTCACCGGCGTCCCTGCTAACTCCAAACGAGTGGACTGTGATTTCAACAGACGCAGCCTGCGTAGGCGCAGTTCCAAACACTGCTGGCGGCTACATTTTCGTCTTTTCCCGCTGTATTTTGTATTTTATGGTGAATCTATTTTCCTGAGGACATGGAGAAAGAATTGTACCGCATTTAAAAAAATCAAAAAAGCAAAAAAAAAAAACAAAGACAAAAAACCTGAAGTATATTTGTTGGGTAAGCGAGCGACAGAACAAATCGACCGGAATGTTAGATGTCGTTTTTCTTTTTTATGATAAGTTTTGACGGCGCCGCCCGATTAACCGCGTGTCAAACGACAAAGCGCTCAGCTGTCAAAAATAATTTAAGAAGATAACCGAAAGGTATGCATTTTTCACGCTCACAATTAACGTGTTTACCGATGGACAGGCCAACGGACATACAACTTAGCAAGTTTTAACATTCGAACAATATTGTACGTATACCACACGATGCAGGGTTATCCGAAAAGAATTCATTTGAGAACGATCTCAAATAACAGACACAGACAGTCACATCTTGACGATCGGACGGAATCGAAGATAACTTCGTTTTGGGACGCGTTTTAAGGAGAGCTTCCTTTTTTTCACGACAGCACCAGGGCAAAGGAACGAACACGACTGACCCGTTTACCACCCCAACCGGGACAACTATTTTTAGAGATGACTGAGCTTTCTACCAGGATTATCTCTGGGAGGGGGGAGAACAATGTTCGCAAAATCGCGTCGAGGGTCGTTCGAAGTCCTTCACCTCCTTCGTTTCCCGTGAATGTCAAGCAGAACAGCTTGAATGGCAGGCTCTTACCAGTCTAAAGGCCCGTTCACACTTTTGCGACCGAGTAAGACCGAGAGAGACCAGGCCGCTTTCTAAGCCTCTTGCGATGTTTTAGGACCAGCTCCGCGGCAGCGCATTCGGTCCTAAAACGTCGCAAGAGGCTTAAAAACCGGTCTGGTTTCTCTCGGTCGTACTCGGTCGCATATATGTGAACGGCAGTTTATTTCTCACAATGGAAGATAACACAAAAAGGGTACCCAGCAGACATAAAAAAAAAAAAATAAGTGGAAACTTTCAAGCGGGGCGAGAAAACGTCGAATGCAAAACCGCAAGAAAGTAGGTAGAGAACCGCGCTGAGCGGGTCTTCACAGTCCAAGAGACTGGACAAGAAAATTTCTAGCTGATAGAGGGCGTGAGAGTCGCACCAGCCGCATCAGCATCAGCAACATGGCGGCGGCCTAAAAGCGGTTTTTGGAAAGGTGTATAGTAGAATCGCAAACTCGAATCGTAGTCCTACTATAAAATGACATATGCGAAATTATTTGAAATCTTGAGTCAAAGTGCAGCTTCTCAAATTGGAACACTTGGCGTGGATTAGCGACGCGTACGTACAGCACAGGTGATTGCGAACGCCCGCCCCCCACCTTTCCCCCCTTTCACCAAGGATCCCAAAACGTCGTCTGATTTTCAAACCACGCGAATGCTTAGCGGCACTATTAGAACGGAAAGCGACGAGGGAGTAAAGCGCTAAAATGCAAATTTTATGTCAAGATTATGTATATTATGAGGCCAGATACTAAAATAATCTGAGAAAGGTTGACGGATTCGGAAGCCACCCCAAGAATTAAAAGCTAGTCTACTGAACACGCAACCGTAACATCCCCCATTCACTGTTGTTCGTGGTCGAAAATTACGGATTAATTGATTTGTGTTGTTACAATTGCAAAATACAGTTTCTATCTACGCTTTATGCAATAAAATATACCAGAAAAAATAAAAAAATAATTTCAACATATCCTCTCTTTTTTTTTTTTTTTTTTGGGGGGGGGGGGGGGGCTTTTGATGTTGGCGTTGGTGAGAACTGCAAATAAAAGAAGTCGTTCGAAGCTGCGAGCCGCATGTTGCAGGGACCTACTGAGAAGCAAGGGTCCCCGAAGGCTTTGAGAGCGCGAGTGGTGCGCGAAAGGGCACGCCGAGCACCCTTTATGAAAGTTTGGAAGGCGCGGATACGCGTACACAACACCAGTGTAGCTGACGTCCTTCGACACGGTGGCACGGAAGAACGGCCTTGGATCGGAACGCGCTGCCCGTCCT